TCACCCATGAAGGCCTCACCCATGAAGGCCTCACCCATGAAGGCCTCACCCATGAAGGCTACCAGCACTTCTCCAGGTTCCTCATCAAAAGTGATTCCTCTTGCACACCTGAACCCCTACCAAAGCAAGTAAGTTTAAGTGTATGTGTCCATTTCTGCATGCGCCTGCTTTCACACATGTATGGTGTATGTAAAAGTCTTTAAACATGACTTCACTTCGAGGTGGATAGTGACGACTTGCATGTATTTCCTCCTAAAATTTAAGCAAACACCGTCTTTCCTCTACTGCTCATTCAACAGCTGAGCTATTTCCTCTCATGCTGTGACTCCACTTGCCTGTTTGCTGCCTTTTCTTAGTAGTACTTAAGGGCATGTTTGGAGATGTGTACGTGCATGTATATGTGGGCATTCAGTTTTTCTCTGTGTGTGTGTGTGTGTGTGTGTGTGTGTGTGTGTGTGTGTCAGCCCATCTCCATAGAAATGAAATGACCGATCTTGCCTGAGAAACGGACACTTTAAAGGCAGGGTCTTTAAGGTCTCCTGCTGAGGTTTTGATTCTGTTATTCGGCCCGTTGGGGATTTGGCCAAAGTCGTTTGTGTGTGTGTGTGTGTGTGTGTGTGTGTGTGTGTGTGTGTGTGTGTGTTTTTTTTTGGGTTTTTTTTCCCTTCATTCCCTCTCATAATTTCTTTACCTCCTCCAGGGTTCATTTTTACTGGTGTCTCCCCTCCTTCTCTTATCGTTTAATTTGGCTTAAGTCTCTGACCTTAAAGTTGGCCACAAAAAGACAAGAGCAAGGTGTAGCTCTTCAGATCGGAGTAAAGGTACCCTGTCAACTCTCCCTCCATGTATGGGCTCTGATAACGTAGCCCTGTTTGAAATTGCAAGCTGTAAAGATAACTGTGCCTCTAGGTGTTGTAATAAACTGATGACTGTTCTAACTTTGAAGTTTGGGAGTACCTACAGTGCGTAAAACCGATGACTTCAGCAGCTGTGGTTCTTCCACGTATGCTTGCGTGAAATGAAAAGTGCGAGTTTGTGTGACACAAAGTCTTTCGCTCGGTGGATTATATAGGGATGCTGTGTATGTTCACATGGCCTTTCATGGCCGTTTGCATGGCTCTCTCATCCCATTCTGCTGGTGTTAAGTAATAGCATCTAGAGCAGACTATAATTGGCTTTTGGCTGCTATAAACCTTGGTGTAGCAGTCTTATCCATACTGAGCAGGGAATGGGGTTCACTCTGGGCCAGCAGCTGCTCTCATGATAGGGGATTTAATTGCAGGCGAAGTTATGGTATGAATATCCTCCACTGCACAATTATCAACGCAGTCAAAAAGCTCACTGCTGCATAAACTGCCGAGCTTGGCTGGCTGTTGTTAAAAACGGAAACAAGAAGCACATTTTAAATGCAACCAGGAGTTTGGCAGATGTACAACACAGTTCACTCTTTGAAAAGAAAGTTAAGTTGCACATGTGTTAGTCAAAGAACGCTTTTGTAATCTTTTACAAAGGATTTATGTTAAGTGTTCTGTGTGCATTCACATAAAATGAATCTGTTGATGAAAACATGATGGACATTCACGTAAAACATTTGTTAACATGCCCACTAACCAGAAGTAACATTTAAAGCTACGGAAGGTAATGTTTTTGTTATCTGTTGAAATTCTCTTCCATCCCAAAAACAACCTGGCTATAAAGACTATAATAAGCCTGTCAAATCATTTCTATTAAAATATGATAGTTTTACGTGTATAATGGTAATTTTGGGGGAGTTGCTTTGGCGGTAGACCAGAAGGGCTGCCAGTGTTTCCTACCGTCTCAGAGTTGGCGTCGGTGTTCTGCAACTTTCTCACTAGATTTACCAACTTTTGAAGCTAGTGTTGCAAGCTGCTTTCATTTGAAGAGTAGGAAATGCTGGGACTTTTCGGTTGTGTAGTTTTGTTGACGTGTACTTTGTGAGCACTGATTCATTATTACAAGTGTCTGCTCCATGTACATCCTTAGGTGGACTATCAGAGCCCGAGTATCCAACAAATCCAGTATCCGCACCTGGAGTAACTCCAGAGGCGAGGGCAAGCTCTTCTCCTTTGAGATAGTGGATGAGAGTGTGAGTAGAAGAGCGGAGACGCTTGAATATCTCTTCACGTGCATGCATGTCAACGTACGTCACACATGGCCGTCTTTGGTTTTTATCCGTTTAATGGAAATGTGCTCGTCAACAGGGAGAAATCAAGATCACAGCCTTCAACAACGAAGTGGACAAGTTTTTCTCTCTAGTGGAGCAAGGCAAGGTGAGCAAATCCCACTCACCCATATCCATCCTCACTTGAAGTGATAAGAGCTTTTTTGAAACTTCACTAAAAAATAACTTTTGTACGTATTGCGTTACATAATATATAAACAAACTACTTAGTAACTTTCTCAGCCATCCATTTTGTATGCACATAACGCCTCCAACTAATTTATCCTAGGTAAAATAGTACATAATAAACTCTTCTGCAAAACCCTCTCATGCCTGCAGGACTTCTGGCCAATGAATGAGCCAGAGGCAAGTATTAGAGGATGTTGTGGAGGGAATTCATTAAGTGCTGTAATATTTTACAGAAATGTATGCGTTTCAGACACATTGAGCGTTTGAGTGGATTCATGAGGCATGGAGTATGCTGTGGAGAGCAGCGTGAGAAGACTTCAAAGCTGATGTGTCTATTGTTTTTGCTGTTGTGCAAGCGTTAGCTTCAAGTTGTTTTTACTGTATCAGAAATGGCTGCCAGCCTTGGAGGCTGTGTTCACCGTGGTGGATGGGTTTATATAAGTTCTCCTCAACATAAGTAATTGATACTGAGATTAGAATTTGTATGGGTCACTGTCATCACTCCTCCGCTCCACACTGAAATTGATGCGATCCATTTGTAGCGACTACATTGGAAGATACGGGGAGAGAAAAGAAAATCCAATCGTCTGCGCTGAAGTGCATTCTAAAGATAATATGAGGCTTCATCAATCCCAGTTAGCCTAATTAAGTCAGTATCTAGACCCTAGTGGTGGTCAGGTGAAGGTTTGTAGCCATCGTGTGTCCTGGCAATGTTACTACCAAGATGTATCCCTCAGGCACTACTGAGTACGGAGACGCTGTCCGTTTAAAAGCAAAGTAGGAATTTCATTCTAAAAAGCCTGTAAATTTTAAATATTCCCACTCTGACTCAGGCAACCGAAGCTTCATATTAGCTTCAGATTAGCTTCAGCTGGAATCCAGAAAACATCTTTGCACTGAACAGGGACACCCTACATCTTTATGCAGCAAATAGTTGTTTGTTGCTATATTAATGATCTGAATATCAAATTCTTGGAGGTAGCATTTGTTAACAGATCATCTTTCATCCACAGGGTCCTTTTTTTAAATATCTTGTCAGTAGCTATCTGCTTTACAGTCCTTTTTAGAAATGCATGTAATGCCCACCAGCTCAATCTGCTGTTGCATAACTGACAGCAATGCTGGCTTCTGACCTTGCTGGAGGCCTGCAATCAAATTATACACCGTAGGATCTTTAAAATAATCATGAATATTAAGGAACAATTCATATTTGATAATACCTTATTAATACTCATGAGGAAACAGTGCAGCCATCAAGTGGACCTCGTAGTAATGCTTTCTACATGTGAAGTCAAGCACTCGGTAGATATCGCATTTAAGGGGTTAAACAAATACAAACACCATCAATAAAGTGACAAAAAGTAAAATGCAAGATGTATGTATGTGTGTATATGTATCTGTATGCAGGATGGCAGACGGTGAGAGATGTCAACATTTTTGAGTTATCACTCGTCTCAGGCTATTGTTTATGCAACAGACTGTGTGTTGTTTATGCTAAACTGTGTGGCGCTCAGTCTGACCACTGAGAACAAACCCTTTGCATGTTCCTGGATGTTAAAGCTCTTGCTCAACCCAGTCTGGCCCACAGAGCTTAATAGCTCAATTAACCCCCGGCCGTCATTTTGCTAGCCGCACTGGCTCAGGTATCAGCCACTGGCAGTGACTCCCAACACGGCCCCAGATCCAATTTGTGCCCTCTGCCCTCGGAAGATAAATAAAGGAATGAATCCGTCTTCCCTTCGTGATCCGAGTATTGACAGAACAGTGAGTGGGTGTGACTGGCTCTGAGCAGCCGGAATGCTTATCACATTAGTTTCATGCTCCTATCTCTGTGTGGGGGGTAAATATATGAGTGAGTGAGTGTGAGTAGACTTGCTCTTCGCTGCTACTTATTTTGTGGTGTATTAGAGAAGTGATGGGCCTGATATGACAGCGCATCTTAGTTGGACCTCAAGGTTTTTTCCTTTTGTTATTAAAAGCTTTTGGTGGAACAGAAGCTTTGTTGTGGTAATAATTTCCTTTTTGCAGGATCTATAAAGTGGTCACAGTGCGATCGGGTCTAACTCACCTTGCTCGCCCGTTCCCTGTAGGTGTACTTCATCACCAAGGCTACCCTGAAGGTGGCCAATAAACAGTACACCACGCTGAAGAACGACTACGAGATGACCCTCCACGCTCAGTCGTCCATCGTGCCATGTGATGACAGTCAAGACATCCCCGCTGTGCACTGTGACTTTGTGCCCATCGCTGAGCTGGAGAACAGAGACAAGGACGCCGTCATCGGTAAGAGAAGAATCTTCACCAACGAGACTCATTTCTACCATTTACCGATGAAAGAACGATTTTAAAGTCCCAGTAAAACAGAAATTAGAGCATCTTCAGCTTATGCACTGTGAGTATTCCCCCAGTGAAACAGAATATTTGAGTGGTGTACGGTTACAAGAGGGATTTAAAATCAAATCCTTTTGCATTTTATTGGACCGCTAAAGTGTGCGGCTTAGAATGTCGAGCAATATAAAGCTACAGAGGACTGTGGCTCCACACTCGCCTGCCTTGTCCCGAAACGTTGCAGATCGATTGAATGGATGTCCTATTGATTGAAAGTGGTCGGTACAAGCTTATGTAAGCATATGTCGTGTTTAGTTTTGTTTTACAGGAAGACGTTTTTGTTTTTTGCATATATTGTGAAATAGGTGCCCAATACGACCAGTGATGCGATCTAAGGCGTATTTCATTCCATCTCAACTTTAACAGTGAGGGACCACTTTAGGACAGCTGGGTTAAGAACAGTGAAGAGCTTTGAATTGTTTTGTTCACATGCTCATTTTTGCAACAAAGGCTCGAAAACATTCATAATCAACTGATTAAGAAAGCTATGCGTCAAACCCAATCAACAGTCTGCGTTGAGGGCTCAGGTGATGACATGACTCACTCCTGCCCCAAACGTTGTAAACGAACTGTTTAAAGATAGAAATGAACTGTGATCCAGCAACAGTGTTGCATTTTTTTTTTTGCTACAAATTCATTCAGATATTGACTTTGGTGGCAGGAACATTTTTACCACACTCCTGAATGGCTGCCATGTATTTCACATCGATTTTGAAAATCATAAGCAAAGACTATCGACAGCCCAGCGAGTAGTGCAGTCGTCCGGTCAGGTGAGGAAGCGGCTTGTGTCGGTATCTGTGTGAAGAGTAATAAGGCTGTCGATAATGTTTTGCTCGACAGCTTACTCGACTCTAGACTCACTTGGACTGGCATCGCTCTATAGATTGTTGCTTGTTTAATTCTGATATGTTCATGGGGGCATATATGAGATTTGTGCATTTACATAAATCTACACCCTTAAAAATGCCATCTAAGGCTGACTGTCACGTTAGTTAGTTGTTGGTTTCATTCACAAGTGAAAATACAATTTTATTTATACATTTTTGTCATGAATATTAAATCTTCCTTTTTGTATTCTTTTTACGGAGTCACCCCTTCACACACCCGCATCTTTCTAATTTTTATTTATTTATTTTTATTTAGTTTTTTTTCTAAAACGACTCCGCCACCTTAATATGAATTCTCAATGACGATCGTGCCCCGCACTGTCCCTGGCTGCTGGAGCTCCATGGGGCCACTCTGACTGCTCCCTGTGGAGCTAGGTGGTATGGGTAAGGAGGGCTGGGTCGCCTTATTGCTTCAATTCCTAATAAACAGGCCCTATCATCCCCAGGGATCAAGCTCACAATGGGCCACCTCCTATAAGGATCTGGGTGCGACACAAAACTGGATCAAGCAATCAAACAAATATAACACAACTTGGTCATTTATTCCCTTTCCTAGATGGTTTCCCATAGTTCAGACACACTCGTACAAACGCACAAATCCTCACCTCTGTCAAAATGTTGTCAACTGGCCTGTGTGCGCTGTTCATGTCGTCGTCTTTTCGTTCCGTTAGTGGTTTGTTTTCTGTCTTGCAATAATGGAGAAAAAGATAAATAAATCATGAACCCAGAAATTGGGGCAAAAAGAAGAAATAAAAACCCATTTAATTCACAAAAATGTGACCGAAGAGAAATAAGAGTTTCACACTGTGGGGCTTCAGGTCCTGCTTTCGGAAATCGGCACATGATAAGCTCAGTAGTGACAGTAGTGGTGTTGGAGGACCCAGAACTGTTGGGAAATATTAATTAGTACAGCTCCTGATGAGCGGCGCAGAAGTAAAGGGAATGGTTCGAGGTGAAGTGAAATGCTAAACGAGGTCTTTCTAAAGCAAAGCGGTCCGTGACTAACTAATATGAAAGGCGGTCATGGAGATATTGGATGAGAGAAAATTATAGCCTACAGTAGGGGATTCGACACTGTTGCATGCTACAGAGGAATATACGCAACAGCGACCTGCATAAAGACCTTGAGTTGGAGAGTTTCCCCACAACTACTGAACTGTACAAGATTGTGCCGAATTACGGCAATAAAAAAATCTCCATCTACTGGCAGACATGTTAATGATAACAAAATATTAACTTTGCAGTAAGCTTTAGTTGTATACATTATATAGTTAATTGTGATGTCCCTTTTAAACTCAATTCATTCCAATGAGCTCCGTCAACCCAGGCAATTACAAGTTATAGATGATTAAAAAACACTGCGTTAATGGACTGGCACGTGTCGGTCTGTTACGTACCAGGTGTCCTGAAAGAATACGTTATGACGGGGTCAGAGGGAAGGTTAATTCAGGCATGTGGTAAAGAGGAGAGATAAAACGAGGATAATGCTCATTCCACTGTTTTCGTGAAGGTTAGTTGCAGTGTCTGCCCTCTGTGCCTGACGGGAATGTCTTATCTCAGTGACGGGTAAATTAGGATGGTCCAAGTAAAGATTGGGGTTGAAATTAGCGATTCAACGTGTGCTCAATATTTTCAGTGACACGATGCACGGGTATGACAACGGTTCTGTAGTTGTGGCAATGAGGGTGTCATTTAAAAAAAAAAAAAAAACTGGTCTTGGTCCGTATGCAAGGGTGAGGACTTATGTTTGAGAAATACAAGCATGGTTTTCTAAATTTGGCACACATTTTAATCTGAACCAGGAGCTATCCGATCACAGAAAAAATGATCGTTTATTCACATTGCCCTAGTTTCCATGAGCACAGTTTGCGCACGTGATCACAACATCCATTTCGTCACCTTCCTAAAATAACGGCCTCTACCTGGAGGAGTGCGTTTGCATTGGGCAGCGTTACATGTCCCGTGTGTCGTCTGTTGTCTCTACATTCACTCTCTCTCTACTGCCGCTCTTCCTGCTCCTTTGTTAAATAGGGGATTATGACACAGTAATGAGAACTGTCAGCCTGTTCCTCTGGTGATAATGGAGTTCAGAGGTGGGTGACATCGTCTCAATCATAATGGAATTAAGGAGGGCTGAGAGAGCGCAGACGGCGCAGGAGAGGACCGGGGGGAGGAGGAGGGCGAGGGGGAGAGAGTTTAGAGAAAGGTGAGCAGAAATAGCAGACAGGAGGATGATGTTCAGAGAATGACTGGTTTGCAAACTATTATAATTCTGTCCAGTCGTTTTCTATAACGCGTGGGCATTGGGTCTGACGCCATGAGATGATGGGCAGAACATGAACCAACACAAATGTGATTGTTGAGCCATCCAGAGGAGCCCTGTGGAATCTGTGACAAGCAGTAGTGCTATGGAGCAATGTTTTTCGAGTGGGTCACACACAATGCAATACATATGTCGGCTGCATTTTTCACACTATTGGTGATCGGCGGATGGCAGCAAAGAACCTCGGCAATCCGGCGACGAAGACAAGGAACACGACTGTACGCTCGAAAACATGGACATAAACAATGCAATATTAAAAAATTGCTTTGCAAATGTTCGATTAATAAGGAAATACATTCAACACATTTGTCAAGTCCCAAACCCTGTGCATTGGAAAGTAACATTGAAAGTTTACACAACTTTGTTTGTCTACAAGAAAACTCCTGAGGGCAACTTGTAAGTTATTCATCAGGTGAAATGACAAACCCCTGCTGCTTACAGCTTCTTACATTTGGCTGCGTTTCAAATGGATGAAATTGTTTTGTAAATGTTTTTTTAGTCAGAAAAAGGACTCTTTAAGTCATGACCATTTGTCATTTATAGACTAAAGGTTCAATCGTAGAAATGGATTTGTACACACAGACTATCTAACTCATGTCGTAGCAATGAGATGCATTAATCCTGTCGACAGTTTCTCGATTTAATCTTATTTTCTTTGATTTCAGTAACCTTGTGACGAGCCCGTTCGTAGTACACAAGCACTTTATGAATGAATTTGTCTTGTTCGGTTAAGGTTTTTCACATTAGTCATGGGAGGCCAGGCTCTACACCTTCTTAGAGCTCGGGAGTGGCTGCTCTTCAGTGCCGTAATCTGAATGAAGTGTTGCGGCCTTGAGCATGACAGGAAACATGAATGAGTGTTTGTTGTGATTTGCAGTGTGGACCTGGGCGTTAGCCAGCCTGTTATGACATTTATGTCAGTCTACTGTGACTTGGCAATATCATGAGTGTCAACTCTGCTGTGTTGGGGTCTTCACTACTTATGTGATACCACTTCACAGGCATTTTTTACACTGAACACCACATGGAGACATTTCAAAAGGCTCTCCTCACGTAACACAACATCTTTATCTTAAGACTATTTGTCTGCCTGTGTTCATGAGCTATCTGTAGATGGAGGTGTAAAATGACTCTCTCTCTCTGTCTGTAGATGTGATTGGAGTGTGCAAGAGTGCGGATGATGTATCCCGTATCACCACGAAGAACAGCAGAGAAGTCTCCAAGAGGGCCCTCAACCTAATAGACACAACTGGCAAAGTGGTTACGGTCACAGTGTGGGGAGAGGAGGTAATAACTATCATCTCTCACTCACTCTGTATTCAGGGATATCCTGTAATTAATCGTGTGTTTATGAAGGTGCCCATCCATCTATGGTGCGTAACGTATCTGTGTGTGTGCTCTTGCATACAGAGGCTTTTGATTGGGTTCTCTGGGCTGTTCAATTTGGACCGGTCACATCATTCTCGTGACCTTCAGGAGTGTTTTGGACCAGAGTCCCTGATTTGAGACGGAAGGCTAAATAACTCTCGAATGTGCGTGAAATGGCGCTATTATTCTCTAAGCTCATTCAATCTGCAAGAGCTAATCCCTCCTCTTTGCCAAAATCCAGAAACGACTTTCAAATTAACTTGTAGGTTGTCCAATTATAAAAGCAAACTATACCACATACAGCGGGTAAAATAAGTATTGAACACGTCACCATTTTCCTCAGTAAATATATTTCTAAAGGTGCTATTGACAGGAAATTTTCACCAGATGTCGGTAACAACTGCTAGAATGGCCCAGACAATCAGCTGACTTGAATCCAATAGAAAACCTCTGGAAAGAACTAAAGATCAGAGTTAATAGAAGAGGCCCACGGAACCTTCAAGATTTGAAGACTTTGTGTGGAAGAATGGGCCAAAACCACACCTGAGCAATGCATGCGACTAGTGTCTCCATCCAGGAGGCGTCTTGAAGCTGTCATTACCAACAAAGGCTTTTGTACGAACTATTAAATACATTTCAGTAAGTGTGTTCAATACTTTTTCCCTGTCATTCCATTTTATTACACATAACTTAATTTCTGAACTTATTTGTTTGGTTTTCTTTGTATGTATGGATTACTTTGGTTGTTACCGACACCTGGTGGAAATGTTATGTCAATAGCACCGTTAGAAATATATTTACTGAGAAAAATGGTGACGTGTTAAATACTTGTTTTACCCGCTGTATTACTTTCTGGTCCCTGCAAACTGCAGAAACAGACTGAACATTAAAGAGACAATCACTGCTTTTTCCACCTATTGTTCTACATCTTTCTCTCCTCAATTACCGTCTTTGACACAGTTTGTTGCTTCTCCAGGCCGAGAAGTTTGACGGCTCTCGGCACCCGGTGGTCGCCATCAAAGGAGCTCGCTTGTCTGATTATGGAGGCAGATCTCTCTCTGCTTCGTTCAGTTCAACAGTCTTGGTCAACCCAGACTTACCGGAGGCGTTTAGTCTGCGGGCCTGGTGAGTCACGCTGGTGTACACACGCACACGCACACATACAAAATTGTTCACTCATGCTGGTATGTATAGTGTGTGCACGGACCTCCTGTCACTTTAAGACACATTATGTGTAAACGGAAGGACAAATCACTACAAATGGAGAGATTGTATCCTCTCGTTGCTGTAATGCTGATTCTATGTAAAATATAGTAGAGGGAATACTTAACACAGGGTTTATTCACGCACACACCGATGAACAAAAAGTGCAACGCTCTGATGATCACGTGTCAGGAGCCTGGTGGCATGTGCCTCCTCAGTCCCAGCAGGACTCTAGACAGGATGTAGATGGGATGGATGGATGGATGGAGGGAATAACAGAAAAGCAGAAGACAGATATTTCTGGATTCCAGCTCTGAACTGCTGCTGAACGTGCAGGGAAAGATGGGACACGGTGAGCCGCATCAAACTGGATTCTTATTAGTAGTTCCTGTGGAGGGATTTTAAATTATGACTCATTCACTCATTAAGGCTGTTCCCAAGTCTGGCCACCGCTGAAATATAAATGCGTTTTTTCCTTTCTTTCTTTGCTGTGTGTGTGTGTGTGTGTGTGTGTGTGTGTGTGTGTGTGTGTG